CGGGTGGATCGCCTGGGGTCAGGAGTTCAAGACCAGCCTGACCAATGTGGTGAAACCCTGTCTCTACTAAAAATACAAATTAGCCGGGCATGGTGGTGCATTCCTGTAATCCCATCTACTCAGAAGGCTGAGGCAGGGGAATCGCTTGAGCTCTGGAGGTGGAGGTTGCAGTGAGCTGAGATGGCGCCACTGCACTCCAACTGGGGAAATGAGCGAAACTCCGTCTCAAATTAATAATAATAATGAAGCAGCAAGGCGTGGGGTGTGCTCCCCACACAAAACCGGAGAGAAGAGCCAGCGAGCAGGCTTCAGGCTGTAAGCATGGCAGCCGAGAAGGATGCCATTAAACCCTCACAGCCACTCTGGCAGAGAGAATCTGTGACTTGGCGCCAGTTTTCAGATGAGGAAGCCAAGGTGTCGGTCCTAAGGCAGCTTGCCAGAGCCCTGCAGCCAGGAAGTGGCAAAGCTGGATTCTCAGTCCAGGCAGGCTTGTACCAGAGGGCTTTGGGGGTTGGAGGGTGAAGTATAATGCAGGTGGAACGAGGGGACTGGATGGGTTTTCACCACTTAAAGGGGCTGTTACATTAAGTGTGTGAGGTGCAGAGCCATCTCTTCCTCCCTTGTGGCAAAGGCCAGGCTGGTTCATTCAGAGGTCACAGCTTCCTCCTCCAGGGACTGAGCCCCAGGTATGGGGGTCTGGCTGGGGGGGATGTGTGGGGGAGCGCCACCCTAGGCCCCCTGGCAGGCTGCCCAGCAGGGGCCCTTTAAGGCTGGCCATGGGGCAGGCAACGTGACACCCGCCCAGTGCAGTTCATTCATCACGGCCCCTGCTGACTCACGCTTATGAAAGTGATTTTCCTGGCCCCGCCCACTGCCTGCACAGCCTCTTCCCTCCCAGTGAAATACCCTCACTTCCCCCCTGCCTCTCAGAGCCTCTTGGATCCCTACGGGGTAATGGGCATTCCAGTCTCGAGGCGGACCCTGTGATCCGTGATCCCCTGGCCCTCCTAGTGCACAAGCTGGCTGGGCTGACTGAGCTGCTGCACCACTGCCTGTCAGGTGAGTGTCAGGGGCCAGGTTCCGGGACAGGGAATCAGGCACATCCCAGGCACAAGCGGCCAGCCCAGCTGGACTGGAGGGTCTGCGGAGCCCCAGAGCCAGGCAGGGGTCCCGGCTGGTCCTGAGTAGAGGCCCTTCCCTAAATTCTCGGGAGCCCAGCAGGATTCTCCCCTACCCCAGGTTCCTCCCAGATCCTCAGCCATATCCCTGTCCAGGTGACTGGCACACTCAGCGGAGCAGCTGAGCAGCCACAGTCCCCACGAACCCTGGCACACGTGACCTTGGCCCCTAGCAATAAAAAGGGGTGTGGCCAGCCCTGGCCTGCTGCCTGGCTGTCCCAAGTCCACTGGGTTGGCAGCCAGGCTGGGTGCCCTCAGGGTTTCTGCTTCTCCTGCTCAGGAGGGACAGAGCCCGTGGGTGCCTATGAACAGCCCCCACCCCGGGAGGCCCCAGGGACTTAGCTTCTCTCTGGAGGTTCAAGAGTGTGGTAGGTAGGGAGGGCAGCCCCTGCGAGGCTGGGGAGCTGCAGGAGATCCTGGGCTCCAGGTTTGTGGCACTGGGGTGAGGGCTCAGCTGTAATAAATGGCAAGTGACGCTTGCGTGGACAGACCACCTCCTCACACCTAGCCCCCCCCCGGGGGGGTTCATGCCCTTGGTCTCCCTGTAATCAGCTGTTTTACTGGAGGGGATTGAGCAGAACTAAGATTTGTTCGCATGAGCGTGGTCTTGGACACTCCCAGGTGGCCTGGGGCAAGATGCCTGTTCCTCCTGACCTGCGTTTCTCCCTCTGCACGGTGGGGATAAAAAAAAAAACCCACCTCTTGGGTTGTCTTCAAAGGCAAATGAGTAAATGGCCACTAGAGGTGCCAAAGAAATGCAGACATACAGGTGTCCCAGAGTCTGAGAGCAGTTTGCAGCTTTAACAACCTCAGAAGTACACATGCTACAGACGTAAAAGAAACGTCAACCAAAGGTGCAACTGTTTTCATGTCTTTTATCCTATTTGCCTTTGTGAAGTTGGAAACATCAATTTTTAATGTTTTTTTTTTTTTTTTTTTTTTTTTTTTTTTGAGACGGAGTTTCACTCTTGTTACCCAGGCTGGAGTGCAATGGCGCGATCTCGGCTCACCGCAACCTCCGTCTCCTGGGTTCAGGCAATTCTCCTGCCTCAACCTCCTCAGTAGCTGGGATTACAGGCATGCGCCACCATGCCCAGCTAATGTTTTTTTTTGTATTTTTAGTAGAGACGGGGTTTCACCATGTTGACCAGGATGGTCTCGATCTCCTGACCTCGTGATCCACCCGCCTCGGCCTCCCAAAGTGCTGGGATTACAGGCTTGAGCCACCGTGCCCGGCCAATTTTTAATGTTAACTTTTTTTCATCAACATCTGCCATCTTCAGTCAAAGGGACTTAAAAACATAACATTAAAAATTGATTCTTCCAACTCCATAAAACGAAAAAACATAAAACGAAATGAAACTTTTGCACACTCTTTTGTAAGTTGACGTCATATTTTTTCAAGGTCATGAGTGACAGCTTCAAGCTGCTCGGGACTTGGGGCGTCCTGTGTCTCTCTACACAGGAAGTGACTTCTCAGGTCCAGCCCCTGGGTGGTGACCTCATGTATGTGGCATCCAGAAGCTTCTGTTCAAGTGCCTGAGAATAGTCACAGGAGGGAGCACTGGACTTGAAGTCCCAAAGCCCTGGCGGGAACTCTGCTGCCTGCAAAGGGTGATAAGGAGCAGCCAGTTCTGATTCCTCATTGACCAACAGGGGCTCCTGCAAGTGCCCTCCTCGGGTGGTGGGAGAATTCAAAAGAACAAGGGAGGAGCAAGGCATGGCCCAGGGTGGGCGCACTGGGGCAGACGGAGCAGGTTGGCTTACTCGTTTGGGGAAGGTCTGGGGGTGTCTAGGGGGTCAGCCCATGGGGATCAGATTTTGGTTCCATCACCCACCAGCTCTGTAGCCTCATGGCTTCACCTCTCCAAGCCTCAGTCTCCTCATCAGCAAAGTGGGCTGCTAGGAAGGTCAAAGGAGGTGATTCGGGAAAGCACTTTACCAGGAGGTCCCATGCTTCCCAGTGACTGCTGTTCCTGGGCACTGTGATGAGGATCGAGGGGCTTGGGGCCATTCAAAGGTACCAGGAGTGAGCGCTCTGGGAACCGCAGTCCTGTCCTCCAAGGCCTCTGGGTATACCTAGCCCCCAGGGTCAGTGAGAAATGATCCCCTCCCGGCCAGAACACTGGGTCATCAGCTGCGCCTCTATCTCCCCGCCTGCCACTAGCGCCTTCACAGAGCTGTGGGGGACCCTGGAACAGACACTGCATGTTCCGCCCAGCAGAGGGGCCTTAGCAGGAGCTGTCACAGCACTCGGGCCACAGAGAAGGCTCTGGAGCAGGGCGGCCTGCGCTCCAATCCAGCCCAGCCTGCTAGAGCTGGGGCAACCCCTTGCCAACCGTACAGGGCCGTGAGAAACTCTCTGGCTCTTGGAGTGCATACAACAACCCGATTACATAAGGATTCCATTTGGTAATGTGTTTTCAGTGTGGAGCTCATGCCTGGCACCCAGCCCACTCCTCAGAGGTATGGAAGTGTCAGCCACCTGTTGTCTTTGTTGGTCTTGTGACTCTTACTATTATGATAATGGGTGGCAATGTCACCCTGAAATCCCCTCCCCAGGCAGGCAGCCAGGGGCCTTGCAGGGAGCTGGCAGGAAGATGCCATGTGGTGCCTGGCAACTGCAGGATGTCACTTGCCTTCTTTCCAGGAAAAGAGGAGGAGGTCTTGGGTGCTGGGCACACGGGCCTGCCTCGACAGGACACGGAAGCTGTCCCTGGCTCCCAACCAGCAGAGGCAGGGGTGTGCTCAGGGGAGCGGAGGGCATCCACACGGGGGTCCCTGACAGACCCCTTTTTCGCTGGGCACATCCTCGCCCTTGGAGCCTCCTTCTCCACACCTGCAAGACAGAGGTGCCAGGGCTCACCTCTCCAGGCTGCTGAGCGGGCTGGATGCCACTGCTTAGGTGTAGCCTCCATGCAAACTGCAGAGTGCTGTGGGAAGGTCACTTGTTGTCACTGTGGGGGTGACACTCAGTTCCTCTCAGTGGCCCATCTACACAGCAGTCTCTCGTCCATCTCCTTGGGGCCTGCCTGGAGGTGGACAAGGATGTTTCTGCCACTCTGCACACATCAGAAGTCACACGCTGGTCTCAACTGTGTTTGGTTGGCCTGTTAAGGATCTTCCAAAATTGCACATTCATTCATTGCTCACTTTTTCAAATCAGAGAATTAACATAGAAATCCAGATTCCTACCTTCTCTGGAAGAATTCTGGAGGCAGACGACCCTGAGGCTGTGGCGTGGGTGGTGTCACTGACAGGCCCTGGGTTTCCAGGTCGGCTGTGTGACGCTGAGAAGCTTGTGCGACCTCTTTGAGCCCCGTTTACACATGTGTGAAGTGGGAAAATAACATGGCCAGGACTCTGCACAGGGTCAGTGTGAGGTGTCCCTAAGAAAAAGCATGTCAGATACCCGGCACAGAGCCCATGCCACATACTCACCATCCCTGTGCCCACAAGGGTGTGGCCTTGTGGCCCTCAGGTGAGGCCAGTGTCCGCTGCTGGCTGGTGTGGGGGAGAAATGGGGGTCTGATGCCCCTCTGGGCACCGGCAGCTCTAGGACCAGCACCTGAGTCCCTTTGAGCGAATTGGGTGTGGGGCCAGCAGAGGGCGCGGCTGCCCCAGAGATGGCAGATTCGCTGGCACGTCCCCAAACGTGGCCGCTGCTTCCCTTTCCCCAAGTCCAGCCCAGCCCCTGGAGCAGGCCATAGCGCTGCTCAGTCCCCGTGGCAAATTCACTCCAGGCAGGTGCTTCCCGCCTGTGACCCCACTGTGTCCCACAACTACCCTAGGAGGTAGGGACTCATTGCTTCCATTTTACAGGTGAGGAAACTGAAACCCAGAGAGGCCCAGGGATGGGCCACGGTCAGCAGATGGGAAGCCACTTGCCAGGGTCAGGTGACGACTCCAAAGTCCACCAGGCCACGCTGGTACTCGAGGGCTGTGGCCCACAGAAGGGCCAGCTGGGCTTGTTCCTGGGTTGGGCAGGAACGGCCTCTTGGGAAGACAGAGAACAAGCTTCGGGGACTGTTGCCCCCCCGTCCCACAATGAGATGGGAGAGTAGAGTGAGGCTCGGAGGGACAGTGGCTGCCTGGGGCGACCAGGCCCAAGGACCGGAGGCCACGTCCTGTGTGACTGGGGAAGGGTGGGGCAGTTGGCCTGTTCGGAGCAGAGGCTGCGTAAGCAGGAAGTGAGTCCTGATTAGTATGCCTCAGAGGGACCCCGGGCTAGACCCTGGGGGCCATAGGAGGCCACGATAGCTGGGAAATGACGTGGCCATGTGACACCCAAGCCTCACCCGAAAGGGCTCTTCCTCCCCTCTCCCCTACTCCAGGTCTGCTGCCAGCCCCAAGCACCCCACCAGCCATAGCCATGAGCTCTTCCAGAAAGGACCACCTCGGCGCCAGCCGCTCAGAGCCCCTCCCGGTCATCATCGTGGGTGAGTGTCAGGCCCCAGCCTCAGAGGGGCGCCACTGAGCCTTCCAGGTGCCCTCACCCCGGGTCTGAGGGCAGGAGCTGGGCAAGTCCAGGCCTGGCCTCTTTTTTTTTGTATTTTGGGTTCTTTGTTTTTTTGAGACAAAGTTTCATTCTGTCGCTCAGGCTGGAGTGCAGTGGTGTGATCTTGGCTTACCTCCGCCTCCCAGGCTCAAGCAGTTCTCCTGCGTCAGCCTCCGAAGTAGCTGGGATTACAGGTGCCCACCACTACGCCCGGCTCATTTTTGTATTTTTAGTAGAGACGGGGTTTCGCCATGTTGGCCAGGCTGGTCTCGAACTCCTGACCTCAAGTGATCTGCCTGCCTCAGCCTCCCAAAGTGCTGGGATTACAGGCATGAGCCACCGTGCCTGGCCTGGGCCTGGCCTCTTTACAGTGTTCTTTAAGCCACTGAGTGTTTACTATGTGACCAGTGCCGGGCTTAGCAGTTTATAAACTATCATTCCCTTTCATGCCTCCAAGAACCCAGGGGTCTAGAACACAGCCATCAGCTGGAGGCGACCCAGTGTGGGGCAGGGAAGGCCTGGTCCTGAGCCCGCACTGGCCCCATGACTACCCTGTGGCCAGCACTGTACTGGGGGCCCACACGAGAGGACACAGCAGGGCTTATTATTCCTGTCCTGTCTGTAAAAATGAGGACAGACGACCCCCAAGAATGCAGGTGTCCAATTCGGCCACGTGAGATGGTCATTTCTGTAAAGCAAAAACAGATGGCCGTCTGCGATTTCATAGGTTCCTCCTGGTATCCTACGTATGAGTAATATTCCGAATCAGAGGAGATAAGCAGAGGGAAAGGGCAGATAAAAAGGGAAGAGCTACCGCAGGGCTGGGCCTGGTGAATTGCCCAGGAAGCGCCACAGATGGCGGCACAGCTCTTCAGACGTGCAAGCAGCAGACCCAACAGGTGGCTCGGCGCCCCTGAACGCCCACGAGCACCCACCACCCAAGCTCGCCCCCAGGCCACATAGCCATCTGTGCTGCGTTCACTCGTCCATCTGACCTAGTTCTGAGATCTCAGAATCTCAGTTGTGTCATCAGGGGTTCCCTCTGTCTGGATTTGAATCCCACCTTATTTACCTGCCAGCTGTGTGACCACAGGCAAGTTACTTAACCTCTCTGTGCCCATTTCCTCAAGTATAGGAAGGAAAAGAGCAGCAGTTACCTCACCAAAGCTGTTGTGGTGCTGTTGAAGTCTCAGTACAATTCCCGGCAAACAGGAAGCTCTCAGCAGTTGCTCATTCTTTTTTAAATTATTCTTTTTTCTTTTTCTGAGACGGAGGCTCACTCTGTCACCCAGGCTGGAGTGCAGTGGCGTGATCTCAGCTCATCATAACCTCTGCCTCCTGGGTTCAAGCGATTCTCCCGCCTCAGCCTCCCGAGTAGCTGGGATTACAGGCATGCGCTGCCATGCCCAGCTAATTTTTTTTGTATTTTTAGTAAAGACAGGGTTCTCCTTGTTGGTCAGGCTGGTCTCAGGTGATCCGCGCACCTCGGCCTCCCAGAGCGCTGGGATTACAGGCATAAGTCACTGTGCTCGGCCTCTTTTTAAAATTATTATTAGGCATAGTGTCTGGCAAAGGCTAAGGGCTTAATAAATATTTTATTTTTATGAGTGAAGGATCAGTGAATGGATTCACCATGTCCAGACCGAAGCCCTCAGCAGTAGATTCTCCCACCTGATAAGGCCGCCCCCTTTGACCTCTGCCCTCTCTTCCCAGGCAACGGCCCCTCTGGCATCTGCCTGTCCTACCTGCTCTCCGGCTACACACCCTACGTGAAGCCAGATGCCGTCCACCCCCACCCCCTGCTGCAGAGGAAGCTCACTGAGGCCCCGGGGGTCTCCATCCTGGACCAGGTGAGTCATCCTGGGGCCGGAGCTCTGGGGAGGACACACAGCCCGTGGGAAACTTCCGCAGCTTTCCCAGGGAGAAACAAGTGTGTGTGTGCTGGAGCCGAGACCAAACAGAATTCAAGAGTCCACAGAGTCAGCCACGGAGATCATGAAAGAAATCGGAGACCCACAGATGCAACATGGCCGAGGGCTCACCATGTCCTAGACCAGGGGTTCTCAGTGAGGGGATGCTTTTGCTCCTCACAGACACCTGGCGATGTCTGGGATGATGCGGGTTGTCATGGCAGGGTGGCAGTGCTACCAGTTCTGGCAAGGTGGAGGCCAGAGATGCTGGTATGCCCAGCACTGCACAAGACAGGGAGGGTGGTGGAACTGACGTATCTGGGGAGGAGTTTCCCAACCTCGGCCTCACTGACTGGTGGATGACTTTGTTCTATCTACAAAGAAGAACGTGGTTTGAATGTCAGCGGGGCCAAGGTCGAGAAATTCCACCGCAGATATTTCAGTCCCACTACCTCCTGCCCACAAGGGCTTGCAGATCCTTCCACCATAGCCCCTGTCTTCCACTGTGCACCCCCGCGACCTCCCTCATCAGGCAGGGTACATCCGCCTGTTCCCCTCCCACCCCTGAGTTGGGGATGAGGACGTACTTCTACACCATTGATCTAGATCAGCATTTTTCAAAGTGCTCTCTATAGAGTACTAGTTCCTCAGTATAATATACACAAAAATGTTCCCACTCCAGTAACACAGGGACACACTGGGGTCGGCAAAACTCAACAGGTAAATGATGGCTGCAGGGCTCATCAGAGCCTTTAATATGCCGGTCTGCATTATCTACTTTTAAGAGGCAGCACCTCCCCAGCTGATCTGACCACCCTGATATGAGGGTAGGGATGCAGGACCAGGCAGCCACTGCAGTCTCATCTGAGATTGCCTGTTTGGTCTATACCCTGGGGCTCTTGGCCTCCTGGAAAGACCTCAGAATGAGAGCTTCAGAGCACCCCCAGTGTGCACATCTCTCTGAGACCCTCCAGTGTCAGGGAAATGGCCCAGCCCCAGCCCCACATTCCTGCCCAGCCTGAGGCCCTGGGAAGACAACCCCACCCTCCCCCAGCATCCCTTCTGACCTATGGCCCCTTCCAGGACCTGGACCACCTGTCCGAAGGCCTTGAGGGCCGATGCCAAAGCCCCGTGGCTCTGCTCTTTGATGCCCTCCTGCGCCCAGACACAGACTTTGGGGGAAACATGGAGTCGGTCCTCACCTGGAAGCACCAGGCGGAGCATGCCCTCCCCCACTTGGTTCTGGGCCGGAACCTCCCCGGGGGAGCCTGGCACGTGAGTGGCTCAGCGAGGGCACGCCTTGATGGGGGTGGGGGTCTCCCTTGTTCTCCCCACTTGGACCTGGGACTCTTGCATCTCCCCTTTCCTCGTTCTCCACCCACCAACCCTGCCCCTCCCTCCACCAGCCCCAGCCAAGGCCTCGCATGTCCTCCAGCCCCAAATAGATTCAGGCTAGCCGAGGCCTGGACTGAAGGGTTCCTTTTCCTGCAGTCCATCGAAGGCTCCATGGTGACCCTGAGCCAGGGCCAGTGGATGGGGCTCCCGGACCTGGAGGTCAAGGACTGGCTGCAGAAGAAGCGAAGGTGAGGCCCCATGGGGTGCGCTGGGGGACACGGGAGGCTGGGCCTGTGAACCCAGAAAACCTGAGACAGGTCTCAGTTAATTTAGAAAGTTTGTTTTGCCAAGGTTGAGGACGCACCCCTGACATAGCCTCAGGAGGTCCTGACCACATGTGCCCAAGGTGGTGGGGCACAGCTTGGTGTTAGACATTTTAGGGAGACATGAGACCTCAATCAGTATTTGTAAGAAGTACCTTGGTTCCGTCTGGAAAGGCAGGACAACTTGAAGCAAAGGCAGGAAGATGGAGAGGGGTCCAGGTCAGAGACAGGTGAGAGACAAATGGTTGCCCTCTTCTGAGTTTCTGATTAGCTTCTCCAAAGGTGGGAATCAGATGTGCACCATCTATCTCGGCGAGCCGAGGGGTGACTTGGAATAGAATGGGAGCAGATTGGCTGTAAGCAGTTCTCTGCCTGACCTTTCCCTTTAGCTCAGTGATTTGGGGGTCCTAAGATTTATTTTCCTTTCACAGACACCCCCCCTACCCGCACCGAGCCCAGGAGCCAGAGGTACAGGGGCTTCAGAGTGCATCTGATCTGTCTTCTTGTTCCAGAGGGGGAAACTGAAGCTCAGCTAGGGAAAGGTCTTGTCCACCTCACATGAGTGGGGGTGAGCAGCAGAGCTGGCTCGCCCAAGGACGCCCTGTCCCTTGCAGGCAGCAGACCACCCTGTCACATGGCCCCCAACTGGGCCTCCCCGTAGTGCCCCAGCCTCTAAGGAGGGGATAACAGCTGGCCTGTGACCCCCATGCCCTGCCCCATGCCTCTGACACAGGTCCCCTAGTGCTTGTGGCCGCTTTTCAGCCCGTCCCCCTATTCTGGCCTACAACAGTCTTTCTTTCCAGGTCACTAATAGGATGAATTTTCTTTTTTTTAATGCTTTTGCTACAGGTGAGTATCATCCTTAGCCATGAGCCCACAAGTTGGATTAACTCACCTAAGGTCATGCAGATTATTGGACATGGAGAAGGAAAACAGCTGACCCCACACCCACACTTCCCCCCACCCTGTTACTCCTGCGTTTTTCCCCCCACCCTTTTACTCCTGGGTTTTTCCCCCACCCTTTTACTCCTGCGTTTTTCCCCCCACCCTTTTACTCCTGGGTTTTTCCCCCCACCCTGTTACTCCTGGGTTTTTCCCCCCACCCTTTTACTCCTGGGTTTTTCCCCCCACCCTTTTACTCCTG